TTGATGATGATCACAAGCAACAATGAATGGTTTTTTGAGCAAAAAGAGAAAGGGGCGATATCTGTCAGCCAACCCTAAGAGGGGGGCGATGGTCCACAAATGATTGGGAAACAATGACTTAGTCTTTCAAAAATTCAGTTTTGTCAAATATTTTTAACATTGATTCAAAGATGTTTGCTAGCTTATAACTCTTTTAAAAAAATTGTTTATTGCACTTTCTGTAATACGCTGCCTGCTCAAAACAATTAAAGGATATTGAAAGTCTTATTAAAAAAAAATTATTTTCAAACTTCGCAGTAGGCAAACTTGGAGTTAGACGTCGAAGACGAAACTTTATCGGCAGCGAATTTGATTTGGCGGGAAAAAATTATCCACATCAATAAGCGCGTTATTTCAATGAGTGATATGTCTCAATGAAGTCATTTAACCGAATCAGAAGCTTGGAGAGTTGCTGACCGGTTAGAGGAAGGGGGGGCGTCTTTTGGACAGGGCACAATACCGGAAATACGAAATTGCATTGTTGAAAACCATAATTACATATTATACTTTCTCTAATAGCTTTTGAATAGCTTCATCGATTGGCATGTTGTTTTCTCTTTCATTGCTAATATTTTTTAGATCATTTTGGGATTTTTTTACCTCTTTTTACATTGAGTTGCTCGCATACAACGTTGCACTGTCAAGCAAACAGCAACGTTACAAAATGTTTAAAAAATTTAAGAAGGCAAAATATCGAAAAAAATTCAATCTTGGGCTTCAACATACGTTAAACGTGAATTATATTCATATATAATATTTATATATAATATTAGTCCTTAAATAATAAAATTACATGTTTACGGCCTAGATCAGTTATGTGTATCAGTAATCCTGGGTATAAATGTTAAGAAAAAGAAATTTTTTAACAACAAAAAACATTTAGTTTTAGTTTGTTCTAGGATTAGAAAGTTAAATAAAACTGATTAGCAATCAAAAGTCCATTTTAATTACAAATTAACACTTCATATGGATGCAAATCACATGAACATTTAAGAGATCAAAAAATTAATCCAACTCTCTCTTGAACGAAATGACTTTTATATTTACATATAGTCTTAATTTCTGACTGTCCGATTTTAAATCTCGAAATAATTAAAATTCTACATAGTTAAAATATACAGCTGATCACCGGAGGCAGCTAGTAAAGAAATAAAATTATGTCAGTTTGATAATTGTACGGCGGTTCGTTCGAACGCTGGAAAAATGTAGAATTTAAAGTTGAAGAATAGAATTTAATAAATGAATAATATAAGTTTGTAAGTCTACAAGATACTTCTAGATTAAATATCTTCAACAAAAAGAAAAGCTACACGTGGATTAGATGTGTCTAAATAAAGTGGAATCAAAAACAATTCCGTTGCCTTAAATATACTCATATTGATGCGATCACTTTAAGCTCTTTTACTTTTTATATAGATACCCTGGATTGAAAATTCTTGCTTTAACAACCAACTATGTTTTGATATTTAACTGTAGTAATTTTTCACCAAAAGCACAGAACTTCCATAGAGTTGTTCAAAATTAATCGATTTATAATTAGAGAAATATTAAAATAAACAGTAATGAATGATAAGATGACAAAAAAATCTTTTAAAGTACTAACAAAATTAAAATTATTCTGCTTATCTGTTTTACTTCGTTACCAATTTAAGTATTGTGAGGTATTAAAGCATTAATGTTCAGTAATCAGCGAAATATATTAAACGTTTCTGTTAACAAATTATTATTATTTGTTTTTACTTTCACGTGACTAGTCATTAATTTACCATAATAATGAGGGAAAATACAGAATCTTTTAAACAATGCAAATTGATGCACAAATTATTACAATAGGATTAAAAAAATCTTTAGAAGTGGCGGGAACTAAAGATATACTTACACGTAATACAAAATAATATTCCGAAAACAAAGAAAGCTAAATTCAGTTGAATCATTTTCGTTCCCCGAAATCTCAACTTCAAATGGGATAAAAAAGAAAATCTTTGGTAACTGCCCAGTTACTTAAACATCTGCAGAGATATGGAACACTCTTAATCGCTGAGACAATCTATATTTCAAATATCTACATTCAGAGAACATATTTAGAATAGATAGTGTGAAGTAAGAAACCATTAGAGGGTAGAGGTCAAGTGATGTGGTCTCTTACTATCATTTTCCCGTCTTTGATTGCCTATCAGTTGAAAAAAATTGCTGGCTTAAACAATCTCTATAAAATAAATAAACCAGGGAGATATAAGGCTTAAAAATTGGAAATGATTAAGAATGAATGGAAGGACTGTTTAGAAATTCAGTTTTTTTCTTGTAAGATTTCAGAAACTTTTCACAATAATCTATTCTTATCATTTACTATTTTAAAAAAGTTAATGGAACATCACGGTCGTAAATACTTCCAAACCATAGCAAGCATCATAGAAAAAAAGTTTTATTTATGAAATGAAAATCTGTCACATGTAATTCAAACACTCAGTGCGTTTTTTATATATATTTTATTCAAATATATTATTTTTAATGATATAAAATCAATCCAGTTTATTAGATTAATTTTATTGGCGAGAATATAAATGCAACGCACTAAAAAAATGTATATTTAACTGACGTTTCTTATATACCTATCTTTACGAACGCGCGTCAATTTGACGCATGAGCGAATACATATAACAGCTCTTACAGAGATGCCAAATCGCTCGGCACAGCAAATATATATTTTAAAGTGGTAGTTTATCAATTGTGATTCTTAATTTAATAAATTTATTTAGTAGATTTTTATGCACCACTATTTCTAAATAATTCGTAGGCTTATATAATTCACCACTTTTTTTATTGCAAAATTTACTTCGTAATTGTTTACCGTTATTTAAATTATTTTTGCGTGTCCGGAGTTGTCGGCATCTCTGCACTTAGAAAGCAATGCAATTATATAAGAAAAAATATGAGATATATATTTACGAAATATTTTAGTATTTTATTTTTCAATACTTGAACAAATCTGACATCAATTGACATTCTACGTTTGTTCTTTCTATTATTGCTTATCGGCAACAGTTGTTTATCCCTTGTTTAATTTGAGATTACGATATCGGATAATGGATCGAAGTATTGTCGGTACATTGCTATTATTGATGTGATATTGATGCGATCGCGTCAAATTGACGCATATCCGTAGCGATAGGTATACCAGAGAATTTCAATATTTCAACGCTTCTGAAGAAAATAGACTTCAACATATATTTACCTCAATCAATGGATAAAAGTCATTATACAAGAGATAAAGTAAAAATGCAAACGGGTCATGTAATTTTCCTTATAAAATTCGAAATGCGTCAAAATGACGCGTCCCATAAACCTAGTGTTAAAAGAGTGTAACTATGTTGCCTAGTACCTTTTGAAAAGAGCGCTTTCATTTTACCAGCAGAAAGAAAATGATCGACTGAGTGCTTTATTTTCAGGATTTATTTAAAAATCGAATTAGTTTAATCAAACATTAAGTTCAATCAAAATCATTAGTTTAATCTGAGTGCAACTACGCAGTGCATTTTGTAATTAAGATGATTTGTAACAATAGCAAATATACGCTTGAATAATCAAATATGTTGTACCACTTTTTTAAATGGGTGTTTTTCACATAGCACTCCCCCCTTCCTTCTGACAAGGCATTAAAACTTTAATATTATTTACTCTATTGAAAAAACCGTTTTTTTTAAATGGCTGCTAGATACTAATGTAATGTGTACCTACCAACATTTACTTCTTCCTTTCAAAGTTTCCCAATTTATTTCTAATAAATATAAAACAGTTTCAAAAGTATGCTGCTTTCAGTTTTTTTCAGAAAGTTATATTACATTGACAAGTGTTACATCATATCAATGATGTTGTAGATAAGTATTAGATTTGATTTGGTAACTAACAAAAGAAAATTCAATTCTCTTAACCTTTTCCCATTAACCCGTTTTGTCCCGACTTTATATATTGAAATGATACAAGAAGTGGTTTTATGGATTATAATATATTATCGAAATTAATTGGTTTTTCTACTGTTAGGGCATTCAAAAAGTCTTTGATAGATCGAAAAGTACTTGCTCCTTTTAATTCTAGATCTAGTCAGAGATCTTTCATAAATTATGGTATCTGAGAATCTTTTAATTCACCCAGATAAATGAAAAAAGTTTTCCATCACAATGAATATTTTTGAAAAAAGGAACTGTCCTAAATATAGGACGCTGGGCGTTAACCGGTTAAATGTTACCAACCCATAGCATAGCTACCAACTTTTAAGTATTTTATTTAAAACTGAATTTTTACATCTAAATTGAAAGTAAAATTTATGCTCCGTTTAACTTTCCTGGATATCTAAATTTAGTTTAAAATGATTTTGACTACAGCAACATATAAATGGATTAATATTTATAAAAGTACGTGTTATTTATTTGCGTTTGAGCTCAGTGCCAAATGAAAAAGATATGTCTGTTTGTAATTGTAATTCAATTTTTATTTTACTAACACTGGGGAAAATCATTTTTTGGAGAAAATTAAACGTTGGCAAGTGTGGAGGAATACTTTTTGTGAGAAATAAGTAGACTCGCTTCTTATTATAAAATATAATATATTAACAGCTTTGAATAATAACAATAACGTACATATTAAAAACAGGAGAATTATCAAGCAGCAGCAGCAGCAGAAAGAAAACATTAGTATTCTTTTATTTGTGTTCCTCGTTGCTATGGGATACGAGACTGGCAGCGTTGAGTTGTAGTAGGCAGGTCACCACAGTACTCCCCCTCCAGTGCTAACGATTCTTTTCTTACAAATATTTCGGATTGAAGCGCACTCGACGTCCCGAGCGTGTTGTTGTCGTAGCATTTGCTAAGTCGGGCGTCGTGGTTTTAGATGGTGCTGATGACGCATGTGTTACAGTGGCTTCAGGTTTCCAGATGAATGCTGGTTTAAGTCGGTCGATATTAACGTTAACTTCTTTTTCGTTTACTAAAATTTTGAATGTTTTTTCGTTTCGAGCTAGTACTTGATGTGGTCCTGAAAATTTTGGTGCAAGAGAAGGCTTTGGAGCATCACATCTGAGAAAAACATGAGATGAGTTTCTAAGTTCTTTGTGTACGAAGACAGTTTGTTTGCAATGAGCGCTGGTAGGAACTGGTCGTAATTTTGACATGCAGTTTCTAAGTTGATGCACGAATGTAAAAGGGTCATTGCTGTTAGGTGGATTGACTGAATGTACGAAATCTCCTGGCAAACGGAGAGCAGTACCATATACTAGTTCGGCAGAAGAGGCATTCAGATCCTCTTTCAACGCTGATCGAAGACCTAGAAGTACGGTAGGTAACACCTCAGTCCACTGTATTGCAGTGTGGCATCGAATTGATTGTTTTAAAGAGCGATGAAATCTCTCGACAATCCCATTGGAACTTGGATGGTAAGGACTGGTTCTGACTTTGTAAGTTCCCAAATACTTAGCTAGCGATGTGAAGAGTTGGGATTCGAACTGACGCCCTTGGTCAGTAGAAATCTGTTCCGGAACTCCAAATCGAGAAATCCAAACTGAGTAAAACGCATTTGCCACAGTACTAGCTGAAATATCCACTAAAGGAACGGCTTCGGGCCAGCGAGTAAATCGGTCAATGCAAGTAAGGAGATATGAATATCCATTAGAAGGCGGCAATGGTCCGACCAAGTCGAGATGCACGTGATTGAACCGAGATGATGGCAAATTAAAAGTTTTAAGTGGGCTGGTGGTGTGTCTGACAATTTTAGATTTTTGGCACTCCAAGCATGAACGTGTCCAGCTCGCTATGTCTTTTTGCATACTAGGCCACACAAAACGTTGTTGTATAAGTTTCCTTGAAGCCTTGATGCCAGGATGTGAAAGACGATGTAATTGACTGAAAATGGCATGTCGAAACCCAGGGGGAACATATGGTCGAATTCTCGAATCCTGAACATCACAATAAAGTGATTTTCCAGGTGTTAGCTGCATAGGCTGCAAGTTGAGATTGTTGGTAGTTTTGTTTTTCAAGAGGGTCTGTAGTTCTGTGTCCTGATATTGTTCATCCGCAAGGGCAGCAAAGTCAATTGGCGAAGGAATGGCTAATTCTTCGATACGAGACAAGGTGTCTGCTACGATATTTTGTGAACCCTCCACATAACGGATATCTGTTGAAAATTGGCTTATGAAGTCTAGGTGTCTCATTTGACGAGGGGAGGCTTTATCCGAACGCTGTTGAAAAGCATAGGTTAATGGTTTGTGATCAGTGAAGATCATAAAAACGCGTCCTTCCAGCATATGTCGAAAATGCTTTCCAGCTTCATAAATTCCTCATAATTCCTAATAAACTGCAGTGTGTAGAATATGTATATTAACGAGGAATTTATGCACTGGAAATGTAAAACTAATTTCTTTTAAAAGTTTAGATACCACTGTTGTTAAAAAGAAAAAAGAGTTATTAAATCACTCCACTTTGAATGGACAATCTAAGGTCGCACTTGCTAGTGTGTTGCCAAGAATTATCAACCGAAATTTGTAGTTTCGGAAATGCCAAAATCTAAATCTTACTACCAGTTTTTAATTTAGCTGTTTCCATTTAATCTGGTATTTAAATTAACCGGATTCCAAGGCAGGGATGCTACGGACGACTTAAAATGCAAGTAGTAAAATGCACTCAGTTCAATTTAATTTATACAATCTATTTAATAATTAGTCGAAACTACCACCATGATTTACACTGCAAATTATTTTATTAAAAACGAAAACTTTCTTCGCGTTTGTCTTCAATACTAAACTAATAGAGCAATGCTAGAAAAGTTGCCAATTATAATATCTTTTCAAAATTGTAGCTTTTTGTTTATTACTACTTTCTCCAGTTTTAGTCGCCCGTGGCATCCCTGCTATGGGTAAGATTTCATTTCCGAATTAAGTGGAAATTCCGACTTTTTTTCAACTACTTTAAGTGCCCAAACTTCATTTAGAGTTTTGTACTTGGTGACAATATATCAAGTTTTGTACGTGATGATTCTATTAATGTGTTGTCTGTTCGCTTCAAATAGAATCTATCGCCTAAAGAAATTCATCACACTGGGAAAAAATGTTTTTTGTTGTATTTATGCAAGTACTTGATCTTACCTAAATTTG